GTATAGCATCTCTAGTGTGAAAGGTTCTTGTTATCCAACCTGTCATTTTTCTTACAGTTGTAATGTCTACTTTATTGTGTTCTTTAAAGGTAAGGTCTTCCGACACCCAAATCCTTAACACTGCCTTTTCGTTCTATGTTATGATTTGACTGCGTTTTGTACGTGGTTTCCGTTTTTATACTGTAATTTAATTTTTTCCGTAGTGCAAGAGCTGGACCTTATCTTCATTAAAATGCACATTAATGACACTATGTAAAAGACACATTGAACACTTTATGTAGGGCATACATAAATCTGTGTATCTATGTATCTAGGTTAGCTTAGCATTTTAAAAGCACAGAATCACCTTCTGTGGTTGATTGTTCAATAAATCCCTGAACTATATATTTAACACATCTCTAACCCTGTCCATGGAGGACAGAAGAAAATGTATATATGCTTGTTAGCATTGTAAATGTGTGGCCACGTCTGTGGTAGGGGAAAAAAAATCTTCATTAAACACCATATTATTTTGTGTAGCCCATAGAAAGACCAAAGGACTTCCGACTGAGCTCTTTGGCTGGAGGTGCATCATGTGCTGTGTCTGGTGGCAGCATTCTACCACTACCTTCATTGCACCAATTCTGTTTCTGTGGACACTTTGTAGGTTGATCTTGTTTTCTTGGTTCCCTGTTCTAAGGCTCATATTCCTCAGATCATCCAGTGTTACTAAGTCAAGCCAGCCTGCGGTCTACTCTCGTGGCCATGATGTTCGGAAGTATGCCGCTCTCTCAACCGTTTGCTAATACAGCGTACTGTATGTCCTCGGTTGATATTTGGGCACAGGAGTTTTGGAGGCTTAACAGGGTTCTGGAATTGAGTATTTGGTGAATGGAGCCAAGCCTCGACATCCTTGTGTGGCCTTAGATCATGTCTCTCATCCTGGGGTCTCTCCTTCATCCTGACCTGTGCACTTCTCCCTCCTCCCTCATAAGTTCCTTTGTGTTCTTTCTTCTCTGTCAGTATTTAACTATAGGGAGCCACAAGGGACTTTCCCCAGAAAACCAACATTGAATGTAATGTCAATTTTGAGATTAGCCCCAGTGGTTCCCTATCCCTCCCCATTCTTCCAGGTTATTGGGTTGGTCTTCTTTGTGCATGTGCCCCCCTCCCTCCCTACAAATAAGTGGGGGAGGAGGGGTGAATGAGCTCACACTAGTTTCAAGACATTGAATCATTTGTTTACATAGTTGGGGGAGTTCATTGGGAAGGTTATGAGGCTTAGGTCTTTTTTAAACCCAGCAGTGATTTGCTTTGACTCGCTGACTTTCTGGTTGCCTTCCCTGGTAAGGTGGCAAAATGTCTTCTTCGAGGTGCAAGAAGAGGCAAAATGCCTCTTCTTGCACCTCTGTGAGAAATGGGGGTGGGGCAGGTTTCGGCTCTGATCCCTTATAGGCTTAAAAACTCCACACCTGATGCAACGTAGTAGATGGGAACTATCTCAGTGTATAGCTTCAAGGAGCCAAGGAGCCACCGGGCCTCATCTAAAAATTGGTATTTTATTACATTCAGTCTGGTTTTGGGGGATTATAACACATACACACAAAACACCAGCGTTGAATGTAATGAAACACCATTTTCTGGATGAGACTTGGAGACTCCCCGAAGCTATCCAGGCTGAAATGGATATATTAGCTTTCTGGCATCAGTCAATGTGCATGGAGTTCTTGCCTACTGGGGACCACGAGCCAGAACCTGGCCCCCCTCAGAGAGGCATGGGGAGTAATGGCCTATAGAAACCCCTGTGTTGTTGGGAGCATTCTATGTCTGCCATCGACCGGGACAGGCGCCCAGAAAGGTAGGCGCCTCAAAACAAACCAATATTCTGGTGAAAATATTGCTATCGAAAGCCGAACGAATAGACAGAACTTCCCAATTGAAAATTAACAAACTAGCATGACGTTATCACGTTGCCGCGTTGCTGTCTGTGCACTCCACCCCCCGGAGGGGGAAGAGGGAGCCCCAGACCCTCGAGCCTACGAGCCACCAGAGGGAGAGACAAGGAAGCGGTCCGAGTGTCCCACACACGACACAGCCAAGACCGAACCTGAGAGGGAACCAGATGGGACTTCTGCCAGTTCACCAGGAAATCGAACTCTGCGAGCTGGGAAAGAACCAAATCCCTGGCGAGCAGACACGTGGACTAGCTGGGAGCCCACAACAGCCAGTCATCGAGGTAGGTCAGAACATGAACACCTAACACACGCAAGCAAGCCACCACAACCTGGGCAAGGTGTGTGAAAACACTAGGAGCCAGATTCAAACCGAATGGAAAGCAACAAAAGCAGTAACTCTGATGCCCCACAAGAAAACCGAGCCAGTCCCTGAACCTCGGATGAATCGGGACGTGCCAATGTTCGTCCTTGAGGTCCAGGGACACCATCCAAGTGTCTGGCTCCAACCGAAGACGGACCTGGGATAGAGTAGTCATCCGAAGGGACGGACAATAAACCCACGGATTCAGACAGAACAAGTCCAGAATGAACCTGAGGTCCGTTCAGTTCCGTTTTGTGACTGGAAACAGGCAGGAAACCCACCTGAGGGACAAGGACGTTTCGACCACACCCAAGTGACCCCACTCCGAGATGACCTGACAGAGTGCAGGAGAAGAGGCATGCCCCACCATCCCCAAACCCCCGGAAGGAGGGGCCACCCAACGCCACCACAGGCTGCACGAAATGACCCGAAAGCCCACAAATCGTGGGACCAGGCATGGGCAAACAGAGCAAGCCTCCCCCGCACTGCCTTGTCAATGGGACGAACCGCAAGGAGGGAGAAGAAACCCAGGGCGAAAGCCAGCAGACCACACGTGCGCAAATCCTCTGCGACCAGTGCAGCCAAAAGGGAAGGAACTTGCACATGAAACTGCATCACACCAACATCTCACAGAAGGGAAGGGGCGACCAAGCACGCATTGAGATTGCTCAAATTCGCCCCCCCCCCTTTGCAATGCTGTCTGAGCCTCCCGCCACTAGCGTGTGAGATCGACAGAATATATGCTAAGCCTCCAAAAAGAAGAAAGGGCAGTCTGCTAACCAGGACAACTCTGGAACTTTGTAACGAACTCAGTAAGGACACGAAGATCCATACACAGAGGAACTCGGATCCATTATGAAAGCATAATCCGGGTTGCACAGGAGGTAAGCCGCAAGGGCTTCCCGCACCACATGGGATGGGATGCGAGAAGCCGAAAACCTCCGAAAGAACGGAATCATAGAACCGACGAGATCACGGAACTGAACCCAGGGCGGGGCAAACTCCAAATACAATTCGTATGAGGGAGCAAAAGAGAACCCCTCTCCTTGTAACACCAAGCCCCACTCCGAGGGTATAAAAACCCAGGCGGGGTCCAACAGGGCCCAAGACCCCCAAGTCAACCCATCCCCCGCCCCGGGAACCTAACCCCGAGGACCCAGGGCCGAGCCGTCCTCCAAACCCCCCCACCTCTGAAGAAAAGGCAAGAGCAGCCGAAAAAGCAGGAACGAAGGGGGCCCCACTGGTCAGACCCAGAAGCTTCAGCAGGACGACTAGGCTCGATTGCCTCCACCGCCACCCCGGAAGGGAACTTTCACAGGACTGCCCGTGTCTCAACACCAACTAAACCCTGCCCCGACTCCAAAACCCTCAGGCATTTTGGAGCCAGCAGCAAGGGGGAAGGAACCAGATGAACAACCTAAGGGGAAGGACAAGGAGGGGTGGACGGAATCAAAGTCGAAGCGACTCCCACCCCCCAAGTCCAGGTCCCTATAAACAAAATGGGACAGTCTCGGGGCATCCAGGGAAGCAACCAACCTATTGCGTTGCAGCAAGCTAAACTGAACAAGCAATGCCTCGGCTTCCTGCATCTGGATATCATGATCAGTAGCTTGGGTAAATTGGAGTACATACAAACAACAAACTTTGCATGCCTCCGGGTCAAAAGAACCACCGACCCTACAGGCAGCATGGCGGAGGCACAACTGGTGGATTGTCACCCTGAGACAAGGGGACAGAGCAACTGTCAACCTCGCCCGAAGAGAGAAGGGACTATGGTCGCATCCACTGGAACAAGGAGCCCAAGGAGCCCCCCCAAGGAGCCCAAGGTGGTCCCCAAGCCCCAAGGGCAGTATTTACAGGGCATATAAGCAAGGAATCCCTGGGCACATGCAGCCCGAGTACTTGAAAAATAATACTCCTTGCTCGCACACTGACCGTAGAGACAGGACAACGCAACAAGGCACAAAAACTGAGACAAAATCTGGAACCAGAGGCACACGACCTAGCCAGCAAAACATCAACCAAGAACTGAAGAGTGGATCACTGGCATGAGGGTCTGGAGCTCCCCCTTTCCCCTCCCGGGGGAGGGATTGCGCAGACAGCGGCAAGGCAACGTGATAATGTCATGCTAGTTTGCTAATTTTCATTTGGGGAGTTTTGGCCACTCATTCAGCGTTCAGTAGTAATATTTTCACCGGAATAGGTTTTTTTTTGGGGGGGGGCGCCTACCTTTCTGAGTGCCAGACCCGGTCGATGGCAGGCATAGAACGTTCCCAACTACATGGGGGTTTCTATATGCCATTGCTCCTCACGCCTCGCTGGGGGCCAGATTCTGGCTCGTGGTCTCCGGTATGCAAGAACTCCATGCACTTTGACTGATGCCAGAAAGTTAAACATATCCATTCAGCCTGGACAGCTCCAGGGAGCCGACGGGCTCCCCCCAGAAAATATATGCTAATTTGTTCATATACGTAATAATGTATGAATGGACAGCAGGTGGACATTGGTACCACTGTATGCCAATCTATGAAAATGGTGGGGCATTTAAAGTACAAAGGAAATTATTTCAATACTGTACTGTACATGTAGGTGAGATTTAGAAACAAAATAACTTGCACTGGGATTACTATTCTAAGTCTAGAGAAGGCATCAAGAATTATACTATTTAAAAAGAAATTACCATTGTAATCATATCATTAACTAACCTCATCCTTAAGCTCTGTTAATTGATAAACAAGGCTGTCAACTAAAGCTTGGGTGCGATCCAGTTTGGCATTAAGGCATCGTACTTCATTCAATTCACCTTCTGTTTCCCCAATGCTCAGTGACATTGCTCTCATCCGTGGGAACCAATTTAAGTCTTTCTCCTGAAAAATAAAATATAAATTTGGCTTATGGAGCCATTTTTATTAAATGAACACTGTTTAAATAGTATGGAGGAATACCAAGTGGTGGTGATAATGTCGAGCTAAAATGCCAAGCCCACATGAGGGCTTTGTGGTGGTTGGATCGTTGGTGGTTACCTCACGCTATCTTGCTGAGATTGCTCCGTACTAGAAGGTCACATTAGCGGTGGGAGTTGTGTTTGGCCTACTGTGGACCAGAGCCAGAACCTGGCCCCCCTCACAAGAGGTCCAGGGAGTGGGTGACAATCCGTCACCCCACCGGAAAAAGCCTTCACAAAGCCAGAGAGGCTTTACAGTCAGCTGGAGGCTTCACAGAAAACAAACCTCCAAAACTTCTAAACAATCTTGAAATGGTTCACTAGAAGATAAAAGAAAAAGAGGGAGATATGATTACCACTTTCAAAATACTAACAGGAATCGACCAAATTAACAAAGAGGAATTCCTGAAACGGCAACTTCACGAACAAGCACACACAGATTCAAGCTTAGCAAACAAAGATGCCAAAAAACTATTATAAAGTTTTCTTTTGCAAACAGAGTGGTGGACGGGACAAGCTAAGTAAGAAGGTGGTGGGGGCCAAAGCTGTCTGTAGTTTCAAAGCGTTATACAACAGAGTGCTGGGAAGACGGGACACCACAATCGTAGCTCTCATCCTGTAACTACACTTAGGTAATTACATAGCAAGCAGTTCACTCAAACTAGCTCAAAACTCATTAGTAGTGATTACTATCACCAGGTGGCCCAGCCCCAGCCCTCAGCTGGCTTTCCAGGTCATTACTATCACCAGGTGGCCCAGCCCCAGCCCTCAGCTGGCTTTCCAGGTCATTACTATCACCAGGTGGCCCAGCCCCAGCCCTCAGCTGGCTTTCCAGGTCAGTTCCATGGCTGATGAACAACCCCAACTCCACACGATTGAAGCAACCCGCCGCCCCCCCCCCCCCACACACACACACACACACACCTCAGTTCAAGCAATGAACCACTGGGAGCAGTTGAGTGAAGCTGGAGCACTAAGATAAGAAAAAGCCAATTCCTCTTTAGGGCATACCACACAGTTGCACACTCATGCACCATACTGTGTGCCCGCAGGAACAGACTCGACCAGGTGGCCTAGTGAACGCTGGTCACGAAGCCTTAACCCAGAGGTAAGGCGTGTGTGTGAACACATCGAGCGACAGGGATGGATGTTGCCATGGAACTGAACCCAGAAAAGGCCGAAGGGAAAACTGGCAAAGCAAAAGCCAAAGAAGAGTGGGAGGGGTCCAAACCTGGAGGTGGCAGAATGGACAGAACTAGAGAAACTGTTACAATGCTCTGAGACAATGCAAGTAAAGTTCTGGCTCCTGCACAACCTTTTGACCAACTGCCAAGTGACCTGAGGCCAATCCAACGCCAGATGGCGATGAAACTACAGGAGCAAAGCTGCTGGAGGAAGGGAAAGACACACCAACCAAGTCTTAAACAAGACCCAGCCAGGTCCGAACCTGGGACAGAATCAACTGGGACTTCCTCCAGTTCACACGCCCACAAACAGTGGCACAAGGAGCTAGCCTTCCACAACATATGATTGTGATTTTGAGAAAAGGAGGAACCCTTCTCAGAAAGTTCAATGGCCTGGGAATCTGATCCACAGAAAGGACATAACACAAATATCAACAAGTGAGAACTCAACTCGAATAGATTACCTCCGATAGGAGACAGAACCTTGAGTGAAAAACAGCTGATCAATAGTTTGGAAGAAAAAAGCCACCATGGAAACAACCCGAGAGACGATCTCTTCCAATAAGAGGGGGATAAAAAGCTGGAGCGGTCTAAAGGGCAAGAGACCAAGTGGAATCTAAAGAATGGGCCAACATGGTCCTCTGCAATAAGGACTCTAGATAGCTGCAAATAGAGCTGCTACTTGCCCACATCCTTGGAAGGTGCCAGAGAAAACAGACAACTCAGGAGCAGAGTAACAGAAGCCATGCTCAGGAACACCTGAAAGATGGAGTTCACCTCCCATCAATCAAGCGTGCAGGTCCGACGGAATCCCTGCCAAGCCCTCAAGGAAGAGAGATGGTTGTTAGCTAGCCGGTAAGAACTTGAACCTCATGCTGCAACCAATAAGCAGACAGAGACCTGTACTCAAAAGAGGCCAGGTCCATCATAGCAAAAAATGTCCATGCTCTATAGGAGGTACCAAAGGAAATCTGCACGTACTACAAAAGGTGCAGCGCAGGAGGATGGATCCTCTGGGTAAATCCAAGGCATCATACGGGACTCAGAACTGAACTCAAGGGGGAAGCAACTGATTGATCCAACTCATACATACAAGAAATATAAAATGTTCCCCCTGCAACAAAAGACCCTCCATAGAGAAGACTAAGATCCATGAAGTGCTGAAAGGCACCCAAAGGCATTGCTCGGGCTTTCCCCATCAATCCTGGAAGCCTACCATGATGGCTTTGAGACAGAACCAAACTCCTCACCCAACACCTGAGACAAGATGTTGTCCTCCCAAGGAGGCGGCTTGGGGCAGGGAGAGGGGGGAGGGGCAGAGGTGTGGTTGTAAAAATGAATACCCTAAACCCTCAATAGGACTGGAAGGCTCAACTGCTCTTGCCATAGATGTAGATGGTACTACCCAGAGAAAAGGTTGTTACACCCTGGGCTAAACCCTGGCCCAACTCTGAAACCCTCAGTTGCTTTGGAACCAAAACTAGAGGGAAAAGAAGTGGGGGGGGACCGGAAGCAGGGTGACCCATACTTGCAATGACAGGAAGAGGAGGTACAGACTTTAGTCTATGTGGAGGTCAACAATATTTTCAATTCTGGGTCCCTAAACACCACAGCAGTCAACTTTTGAGCATCCAGCGAATCAATATGCCACAAGTGCCTAACACAAGCAAACATAGCTCGAAAAGTTGCAGCTGCCTAAAACGTCTTGAACTGGGAGGCAGAATCTGTCAACGTAGAGACCCAGTGAGAACACACCACACAAGACTCAGGATCGTAGGTGACACCGACCCAACAGGTAGCATGGAAAGGGGATGGGGGGTGTAGAAAACACACACACTCCTCAAACTGACACTCAGTGTGGGAGGGCTCAATGAGCCGATCAATACGGATCACATAAGAAACTCACAGGGAATTCCCAGGGGTCTCAAGGACCTTAACCAGGCAGTCACCCCCAGGCACTTGGGGTGCCTGGGGGCTCCTCACTGGAACAACAGATACCAACTGCAGCCAAAACTACCAAACTATGAGTGGCAACCATGGCATGCCATATCAACAAGAACATAACCTCAGTGCACTCTACAACAACCGTGGCATGCCATATCAACAAGAACATAACCTCAGTGCACTCTACAACAACCGTGGCATGCCATATCAACAAGAACATAACCTCAGTGCACTCTACAACAACCGTGGCATGCCATATCAACAAGAACATAACCTCAGTGCACTCTACAACAACCGTGGCATGCCATATCAACAAGAACATAACCTCAGTGCACTCTACAACAACCGTGGCATGCCATATCAACAAGAACATAACCTCAGTGCACTCTACAACAACCGTGGCATGCCATATCAACAAGAACATAACCTCAGTGCACTCTACAACAACCGTGGCATGCCATATCAACAAGAACATAACCTCAGTGCACTCTACAACAACCATGGCATGCCATATCAACAAGAACATAACCTTAGTGCACTCTATAACAACCAAAGTATGCCCCCCCCCCAGCCAAGGGTTGAAACCGAGGAATGAAGGATCCTTCTATGGCTCAAGTTGAGGCTCTCTGCTTTGGTGGCCAGGCCTCTCGGGCAAACTCCCGAGCAAGGGTAGTGTCAGCAGGCACACAGGGAAGAAAGCCCTCAGTGCATGCAGCCTGAAACACAACAAGAGCTAGACCCATAACAAGCCAGAACCAAAACACACATGTGAAGCTTAAACTACCAGAAGAAACAATACACAAAGTAAATGACCTAGGCAGCACAAGAGTCCAACAATGGTTGACATTTAGCTTGAAGTAATCTGTCAGTAATCTGACGGACCAGAAGCACTATAAGCAGCACCACACTGTGTGCCATCAGCAATAACAACTGACCTGGGAAGCTGGCCGAGGGCCGGGTTGTAATCGGTAATAACGAGTTTCGACCTAGTTTATGTGAATCTCTTGTTCTGTGTGAATCATTTGCAGTTGTCTGGTGGTTACGAGGCCTCATTGTCTGTGAAGCTCCAGTTGTCTGTAAAGCTGTGCTCACTTTCTAAGAGGCTTTTTCTGTTGGCTTGTCACTTGTTCCCTCCACCTCTGTGAGGAGGGCCAGGGTCTGGCTCTGGTCCCCGGTACGTCAAACACAACTTTTGTGACTGATATGAACCATTTGCATGAAGTAATCTTGGCAAGATAGCTTCAGGAAGTCATTAAGGGGACTCCCTTCAGAAAAACAAAAGATGAAACACAAGCAAAACATTCAGGTTGTGTTGTAGGATATTGTATCTTATATCACAAGGAGCTCTCATCAGAGTAAGGGCTGTCTATAAAAATGTCTTCGTCTGGTGTTACAACATATGTATATACAGTATTGAATACCACTAATAATATATATATCATTCCCTATTCTCAGCAATAAGTGCTGACAAAATATTCAGATATTATTAGGTTTAATCCTCTATAGTGGTTGACATGGTATTCACAGACCAGATATTCACACATACAGGTCAAGTTCAAGTACATTTATTGAGACAATAAGATACATCTCAAAAGGATAGAGTGGCTAAGGCTATGTCTACCCTTCTGTCATACAGGTCATTCACCACGGAAATTGGGCACCATGGTGTTTCCTGCCCAGTCCATCCTGGTTCTGCTGTAGTCAGAAGTCAGCTAGGCACATTCACATTTATTAACATTATAAACCTGTATTCTATTAGAAAAAATCTTTTTACAAGTCATTCTTCCCTATCGACTTCTATATTTTATTATATTATAGTGTAAATTAAACATATTTCTAGAAGACATAATTGATTAATCCTTAGACAGTGATTCTCATCAATTGTTACAGAGTAATGCAGTTATCATCACATGAAGATCTAAACAATTATTGTCTGGGTTTTACATGTATGATACAATTATGGATATAATAGGTCTATGTGGATGTAATGGAGTTTACCTTGACCCATGACAAAAATCCTGCTACCATTTCATGATACAAATGCTGTTATTGTCATGAATATTACTAGGGGAATGCTGTCATTATATGAAGATTTGAATAATTATTGTCTGGGTTTTACATGTACCTTGAGGTTACCTTGAGGTACCTTGAAGTACCTTGAGGTACCTTGAGTACAAGCAAGGAAAACCACTCCCAGGACTCTGGGTCCAAGGTGTCACCAACCCAACAAGCAGCATGATGGAGGCACAATAGGTGATTGTCATTCTGAGACAAGGGGACCCGAGACAAGGGGACCTGAGACAAGGGGACCTGAGACAAGGGGACCTGAGACAAGGGGACCCTCAAACTCGCACAAAACGTGATGGGACACAGGGGCCGCATCCAAAGGACCACTGAGCCCCAGTGGGGGTTTCCAGGGCCCTTACACACTCTGGTAAGAGAAGCCCAGGCAAGGTATGGCTATCTGGCACCCCAAACTACCAAACAAACTACTAAATGCTGAACCAATTGGATGTGTACATTCACAGGGTCCTAGTGGAGGACCACCAAGAACAAACGTACGAACATACATACATACATACATACATACATACATACATACATACATACATACCTGGTTGATGGGGTTCTGGGAGTACTTCTACTCCCCAAGCACGGCCCAAGGCCAAGCTTAACTTGTGAGAGTTTGGTCCACCAGGCTGTTGCTTGGAGCAGCCCGCAGGCCCACATACCCACCACAATTTGGTTGGTCCGGCACTCCTTGGAGAAAATTATCTAGTTTTCTCATGAAGATGTCCACAGTTGTTCCGGCAATATTTCTTATGTTCGCTGGGAGGATGTTGAACAACAGTTTTCTTTGATTGTGCCTATGGCACCTCTGCTCTTCACTGGTTCTATTCTGTATTTACTTCCATATCGTTCACTCCAGTATGTTGTTATTTTACTGTGTAGATTTGGTACCTGGCCCTCCAGTATTTTCCATGTGTATATTATTTGGTATCTCTCTCGTCTTCTTTCTAGTGAGTACATTTGGAGAGCTTTGAGACGATTCCAATATTTTAGGTGCTTTATTGCGTCTATGCGTGCCGTATATGTTCTCTGTATTCCCTCTATTTCAGCAATCTCTCCTGCTTTGAAGGGGGAAGTGAGTACTGAGCAGTACTCAAGACGGGACAACACAAGTGATTTGTATAGTACAACCTTACATACATACATAATACATACATACATACATACATACATACATACATACATACATACATACATACATACACATACATACATATACATACATATACATACATACATACATACATACATACATACATACATACATACATACATACATACATACATACATACATACAAACAAGGGTTAACAACACAGAGGGCAAATCCCCCCACCAGGCAGGAAAAACAAAAACAAAAGAAAAACCTTGCAAGAGCACAACTGGAGGCGGAACAGAGCCGGCCGCTGTATTATGGTGAAAACAAGCTGCACAGTACCTTGCACTCCTACCAGTGATGAAAACTGCCTCCTACCAAGAGACAAACAGTGGTGCATGAAACACCCCAGCTTACCCTATGGGCGGGCAATCACCGAGCAGCAAAGACCCCACGGAGGTTATCTTGAGATGATTTTGGAGCTTTTAGTGTCCCCGCGGCCCGGTCCTCGACCAGGACTCCACCCCCAGGAAGCAGCCCATGACAGCTGACTAACACTCAGGTACCTATTTTACTGCTAGGTAACAGGGGCATAGGGTGAAAGAAACTCTGCCCATTGTTTCTCGCCGGCGCCCGGGATCGAACCAGGGACCACAGGATCACAAGTCCAGTATGCTGTCCGCTCGGCCTACCGGCTCCCCAGAGGTAGACCCCAAGAGACTAGTGGAAGATAACCCCAAGCCACAAGGGCAGTACTTACAAGACACCTAGGGAAGGTAACCCTAGGTGCATGCAGCCCAAGTATTGTGAAATTACTCTTGGCTCGCACAACACCACAGAACAAGAACACACCACAAGGCACAGCATTGGAAAAGATTCGGAGCTAGAGTCGCACGGTAACACCACGTCTCACATCAGCCACAGAACTGGTGTGTGGATAGCCGGCACGGGGGTCTGGGGCTCCCCCTTCCCCCTCCCGGAAAGGGGAAAAGTTGCACAGACAGTGGCGCGGTGATTGTGGTTACGTCATGCTCGTTTCCTCGTTTTTCGTTTAGAGGAGTTTTGTCCAACAGTTCGGCTTTCAACAGCAATATTGGGTTTATAATATAACAAACCAGATAGGGTTTGTTTTGGGGCGCCTACCTTACTGGATGCCTGACCTGGTCGATGGCAGACATAGAATGCTTCCAACCACACGGGGGCTTCTATAGGTCATTGCTCCTCGTGCCTCTCTGAGGGGGCCAGGTTCTGGCTCATGGTCCCTAGTAGGCTTAAGAACTCCATTTGCTTTGACTGATGCCAGGGTCTAATACATTCATATCAGCCCAGAAAGCTCCGGGGAGCAGAAGGGGCTTCCCCGAGGAAAATATCAATGATTCTCATTTACCTTTACCAAGGTGTAGACATAACTCTCAGGTCCCGTGAATTCTGTAGGATCCTTGACGTTGACTTGAACATAGAAGTAAAGATAGTGCCACATGTTGTGCTCGTGCTTAATGTGATCTTCAAAGTTGACAGCCTTGTTGTCAAAGCTGGAACGTGTTAATCCTAAGAAAGAAATAGAAATATTGTGGGGTTACATGTTCTCTAGCTCTTGCTTACAAATATACTATTACAATTAAATGGCAAACACATCTAAGTGTTCTTCCACTGGCACAATTCAAGTGCCAAATATTTAAGGTCCCAAGAACCAAATATTATGTTTAAATAGTGTATGGGATAATTACTTCAACATGTTTATACAAATGAAAAATTACAAAAAATTAACCAGCAATTGAATGAATGGCTTAAACGATATAATTAAAAAAATGGAAAGAATAACCATTATAAAACTAGCACTAAATATAATGAAATTCCTTTTTCTGGTTGGGCCTCAGTGGCTTCCTGTAGCTATCTGGCTCAGATAACTACACGTATCAGTAACACCAGCCTTAGGAGTCCTTAATGGCCAACTGAATGTACCTTACCTGAATAAAAATTTATTTATTTATTTATTTATTTTACAAAACTTGACATACACCTCATTTACTTCCTTGCCTAACAGCAAGTCTTTCCTGTCAAATTCCTTAAAGAAATGTCTGAGTTCCCCATAATGTCCTCTCCTGAAATATGCTTCAACTTCCTCATTTTCTTCCAAATTATAATGCATTGCATACTTTATTCCCCCCCAAAAAATAGTAACTTTTACCCAAGGAAGGTACTGAATGTCAAATATCTCTTCCTCTTTTCTAGTAAATATCAAATCCAGCATGGAGGGAACATCCCCTTCCCTCATCCTCGTAGCTTGTTTAACATGTTGAAACGAATGTTTCTAGGATGAAGTTTACAAATTTACATGTCCAAAAGTTCTCTAGCTTCATATGCCTCCCAGTCTATGGATTTGAAGTTGAAGTCTCCAACTACCAACAGTCGGGATCTATCATTATCTGCTACCACTATAATCTTTCTCATTATTGTTATACGACCCTCTCGTTTATTATCCAGCTCCTCTTTTGTCCATGTATTGCATTGCGGTGGAACACATGTGAGATGGGCAGAGTAGAACGCTGCAGCTGCTTCCTTGAGCATAGGTGCATATAGCTCAAGTAAAGTCACTGAAGCTGCCATGGCAGAACACACGGCACTGCACCTAACCCTGTGCAGGAGCTAAACCAAACATCACGTGGAAGAACACCCATGGGGGAGGGGAAGCAATCAAGTAATCAACTTCATAACAAGAAAGTGGTATAGGAGAAATCCTCCCCTTGGATCAAAAGACTTTCCTTAAATAGAACCAAAATGCAGACGCAATGGACAGACACCCTCTCAAGATCCCCCCTCATAGACACCCTTGGGAACGTCGTTCCCTATATAGGCGAAGAAAACGAATCGCGGAACAACTTGAGAGTCGCACCCTATCTCAAGAACGGAGAAGAAGGTTAGGTAGAGAAATAGAAACAATTGAACTCAAGCTACAAGAATCATACAAAACCCAGGAGAGGCAAATAGAGCAAAAGGCCATCAGTGAAATAGAGAGAAATCCGAAATATTTTTTCTCCTATGCAAAATCAAGATCAAAAACCACATCTAGTATCGGGCCCCTGCGAAAGGGAGATGGAACTTTCACAGATGACAACAAAGAAATGAGCGAGTTACTGAGGAAGCAGTACGACTCTGTTTTCAGTGAGCCATTAAATGCACTAAAGATTGATAACCCAAATGAATTTTTCATGGATATGATACCAACATCAAATCACATATCAGACGTCGCCCTATCCCCACTAGATTTTGAAGAAGCCATAAACAGTATGCCTATGCACTCTGCACCAGGCCCGGATTCTTGGAACTCCATATTCATCAAGAACTGTAAAAAACCACTATCGCAGGCCCTTCACATTCTGTGGAGACAAAGTCTAGATACTGGCGTTATCCCTGACATACTAAAAACAGCAGAGATAGCACCACTCCATAAAGGAGGAAATAAGGCAGAGGCAAAAATTACAGACCGATAGCACTAACATCGCACATCATAAAAATTTTTGAGAGAGTGCTAAGAAGTAAGATCACAAAATACATGGAATCACAGCATCTCCATAACCCCGGACAACATGGTTTCAGAACAGGGCGCTCTTGCCTGTCGCAGTTGCTGGACCACTATGATATGGCATTAGATGCTATGGAAGACAAACAAAACGCTGATGTAATTTACACAGATTTCGCAAAAGCTTTTGATAAATGTGACCATGGTGTTATTGCACATAAAATGCGTTCAAAAGGAATTACCGGGAAAATAGGCAGATGGATCTACAATTTCCTGACTGACAGAACCCAATGTGTAATAGTCAACAAAATAAAATCCAGCCCATCAACCGTGAAGAGCTCAGTCCCCCAGGGTACTGTGCTTGCTCCAGTACTTTTTCTCATCCTCATATCGGACATAGACCAGAACACAACCTATAGCACTGTATCATCCTTTGCAGATGACACTAGGATTTTCATGAGAGTTGGCAACATAGAGGACACGGCAAACCTCCAATCAGATGTAGATCAGGTCTTTCTATGGGCTACAGAAAATAATATGGTATTCAACGAGGATAAGTTTCAGCTCATGCGCTACGGAAAAATTGAAAATATAAAAACAGAAACCACGTACAAAACGCAGGCAAATCATAACATAGAACGAAAAGGCAATGTAAAGGACCTGGGTGTACTCATGTCGGAAGACCTTACCTTTAAAGAACACAATAAAGTAGCCGTCACAACTGCAAGAAAAATGACAGGTTGGATAACAAGAACTTTTCACACTAGAGATGCTATACCGATGATGATACTTTTCAAAACGCTTGTGCTATCTAGAGTGGAGTACTGCTGCACAATGACAGCCCCTTTCAAAGCTGGAGAAATTGCTGACCTAGAGAGCGTGCAGAGATCCTTTACTGCTAGAATCCACTCAGTAAAACATCTAAATTACTGGGACCGACTAAAGAGCCTAAATCTGTACTCCCTTGAGCGCAGGCGGGAGAGATACATAATAATTTACACGTGGAAAATAATTGAGGGGCTGGTCCCAAACCTGCACACAGAAATAACACCACATGAGACCAGAAGACATGGCAGGATGTGCAGAATACCCCCGTTGAAAAGCAGAGGTGCAACAGGTACTCTGAGAGAGAACTCTATCAACATCAGAGGCCCGAGACTGTTCAACACGCTTCCACTACACATAAGGGGCATAACTGGCAAACCCCTCACAGTGTTCAAGAGAGAACTGGATAAGCACCTCCAAAGGATACCTGATCAACCAGGCTGTGACTCATACGTCAGGCTGCGAGCAGCCGCGTCTAACAGCCTGGTTGATCAGTCCAGCAACCAGGAGGCCTGGTCGACGACCGGGCCGCGGGGACACTAAGCCCCGGAAGCACCTCAAGGTAGCCTCAAGGTAGGTAGACACCCTCTCAAGATCCCCCCACAGACACCCTCTCAAGATACCCCCCACAGACACCCTCTCAAGATACCCCCACAGACACCCTCTCAAGATCCCCCCACAGACACCCTCTCAAGATCCCTCCCCCCTCCAGACACTCTCTCAAGATACCCCCACAGACCCACAGACACCCTCTCAAGACCCCCCCACAGACACCTTCTCAAGATACCCCCCAGACACCCTCTCAAGATACCTCCCCCGCCCCAGACACCGCTCTCAAGCTCTCTCTATGCCATGGGGACCAACCATGATGGCCCCGCAGCAGAACTATATCTCGAGCCTGAAACCTGGTACAGATAGGCATTGTCCAACAAAGCAGGATCGAAGCGAGGTAACTGTTGTGAAAGCAAAGGCTCCACATCACCAATGGGAAGGGACGGCTCAATTGTTTCTGCCGATGAACTGGATGAGGCAACCCCTGGTGTCAGCCCAGCTATATTCACAGTTAAACTCTCACCTAATTCTGAAACCCTCAGATGGTTTGCAGCATGAGCCAGGAGGGAAAGATCAGATATTGGGTAAACCACACCAGCAGTCAATTGAAAAGGAGAGAAAACTTACCAGGTGGAATTCACCTTTTACTCCAAAACCAGATCCCTAAACACTGTAGGGCCAACTTTTGGGCATCTAAATGAGTACTGTGCTGCAAACCATAGAAGCAGAAAAAACAAGTTCACAAAGCTGCAGCTGCCTGAAAAGCCTCCTGTCCTGAGGCTCTGATAAGATAGACATACAGTGAGCACAACGTTGCAGGCCTCTGGGGTCAAAGACAGAACGACCATTGGCAAGAAGCACAGCCTAAGAACACCCTTCAAACTTGAATCCAACAAGAGCGGGCTCAACAGATATGAACCAACTACTGAGTAGATCATTTGTGGGGTCATTTGCTACTTTGTTTTTGTTTTCACCGTGAATCTTACAGCTGTCGGTTTTGCTTCGTTTCCTTTCCAGATGTCCCCTACTCCCTGAACCTCTGTGAGGAGGCCAGGTTCTTGCTGTCATGTTTGGTATACTATTATGGACTCCTAGAGCTGACATGACTCAAGTGTGGAGCTATCTCGGTATGAATAGCTACAGGAAATCACCGTTCAGTCCTTCCAGAAAACAAATTTCATGCAAACAGATCAGAGCAAGAATGTTATACTGTATTTTGGAGGGCTTATTGTATCGTAATATTCTAGAGAGAATATTATCAGAATATTCATAAACAGTGTTTCAGTGTTGCAAGTTAGCAAAACAATTTCATAATAATTGAAAAATTACATTAATTCTAACATTTTGATAGACATAAATAGTACAGTATGTCCTAAATTCAAAATTAATTCAGTATGTCCTAAACTCAAAATTAATTCAGTATGTCCTAAACTAAATTCAGGTTTAATCAGTTATTTTAAAATACTTTGGGTTTAGAAATTTGATTTTAACTAGCCATAGAGGGAACAAAGGGGAAAATACATAAGAAATGCAAACTTAAAAATCTTAAAGTTTATTATAACATGTGTAAAGAAACCTACTTACCACATATAAAGCAAGAGTTTTTCAGTATTTCTTCAGAGTTTTGTTTTTCACTTCTGAGATCAGCAAAGGTGTCAATAATGACACCAAAGATGAGGTTCAACACAATGATGATGATGACGAAGAAGAAGAGGAGATCGTAGATAACACGAGGAGCAAACAAGTTTTCCTAAAAGAAAAATAGGATGATGCTTAAGTAATTTTGGTACACATGACTTATGAATTATTAAGAGTAAATAGTGTAATAAGTACTAAACAGTTAACAACTGGCATACCTTAAAACCAACATTGAGTGTAATAAAACACCTCTTTCTGGGTGAGCCCCGGTGGCTTCCTCAAGTTCTGTCGCTGAGATGGCTCCCAACTACTTGCAGTTCTGTGGAGTTCCATGGAGTTCTGTTTGGCCTACTGGGAACCAGAGGCTGAACCAAGCTCCGACTCACTGAGGCACAGAGGGCAGGTTACACTCTGCCATCTCACCGAGAAAGCATCCAGAAAGTCAGCAAACCAATACAGACCACTGGTGGAATCAAAGAAACCGAAGCCTCAAAACCATTAAATGATCTCTCTCCAACAACGTAAACCCCCAACAGTTGCAGGGTTGCAGAGTTCCTGGTCTCCTCCAGCATGTCACACCAGTTCTGGAACAGATGTGCAAACAATACCCACCAACCGAGGACCTGGAAGGGAGGTTGACAATCGAGGAACCACCAAGGCTCACCTAGCAAGAGGCATTTTATTACATTCAACGCTGGCTTTCAAGGGGTCGAGTCCTTTGTTGCACCCTGAAGCTAACTACCCACAGAGAAGAAAGAGGCAAACTTTCTTACTCACCAAGGACAAAAAGAAACCACAGGCAGTCGAGACAAATATGAAACAACAGGCCAAGAGATATGGCCCAAGGCAACACAAGCATAACGAGGCCCGGGAACATTAACTAAATACCAGGGTACCAGAACCCTCTTAGACAGCCAAAACCCCCACGACCAAATCTCAGCACTGGACATGTTAGCAAAATCATTACAAGAGTACCATACCTCTAAACATGAGTGCAGTGCAGGGTAGAGTTCAGGCTGGTTGGATATGATGACTCGATGGACAAGCTGAGAAACACGAGCCTAGAAACATGAGCCTTGGAATAGGGAACCAACAAAATAGGATCAAGACATAAAGCATCCAAGATGCAGAATTTGCGGCACAAAGGTAGTAGATGAGAGCTGCCAGCGGGCGAAGCACATGATGCACTCCCACCCAAACCAACCAAGCATCAACAACCAAAGAAAACAGAGAAACAAAAGCGACATATATTGAAAATTAAGCTTACTTTATTTGATGGAGCCCTGAGAATGTCTCCAATGCCGCCGCCACTCCGGAGTCCATGGTTGAGGGTGGTTACTATACACATGAGAAGAGTTGAGCAGGCTTCTTCTTTACTATCCTCCACTTCAGCCATCATCTCGTGTGTAATCCCATCAACAACTGCAACCAAAAATTACTAAGCTTTAATTTAATAAATAAGATAAATCAAAATTAAGTATAAATTGATATTCTCAAGAGTGTAGAATTACACAGTAATGCTATGCTTGAATGGAACATAATGCTGTCAAAATTCACATGAACTTGATGGAATTGCTTCTGTTTTATATCATGGTTCAACTGATATTTTTCAAGTTATATGGGCCATAACCAGACAACTGTACTGAATACAGAACTTAGTGACACTGTCTGAAAATCAAATGAATGACAGGTCCACAGAAGAGCCAGGCAATGCATGATGGGAAGCACCTACAAAATATAGCCTGCAGATGCCCCTGTCGCTCGGGAAGACGCCAAGGCACCGAACCCCAAAAACCCCGAAGAGGAAGCCAGTGACGCAGCAACCAACACAAGACCCCCGGAGGACGAACCCAACGATCGCAAGAGAGGCGGAAGGGACGTCCCCGAAGGAACCAAAACAGACGCCGAAGCCAAACCTGACCAGGCGGGTAGAGTAGCACGGCGAAGTTCAGACTCCCGCACAACCGCTCGAGCAACCGCCGAGTGACCTGGGACCCCCTCAGAAACAGCCGACGGCAGTCCCGCAACCGCAACAACGCCTCTGGAGGGAGAGAGAAGGAAGCGGTCCGAGAATCCAAAACAAGACCCAGCCAAGTCCGAACCTGGGACGGAACCAGATGGGACTTCCTCCAGTTCACCAGGAACCCGAACCTGGCGAGCTGGGAAAGAACCATATCCCTGTGGAGCAGACAAGCTGACCGACTGGGAGCCCACACCAGCCAGTCGTCGAGGTAGACCAAAACCCGAATCCCTAGAAGACACAGACGGGTCACCACAACCCGGGTCAGCCGCGTGAAAACGCAAGGTGCCAGATTCAAAGCAAAAGGTAGTTATCGAAAACGGTAAGCGTGATGCCCCACCACGAAACCTAACCAGTCCCTGAAACCCGGATGAATAGGAACGTGCCAATAGGCGTCCTTGAGGTCCAGGGACACCATCCAGGCACCCGGCTCCAACAGAAGCCGGACCTGAGACAGAGTAGTCATCCGAAAGGAGGGGCAAGGAATCCAGGGGTTCAGACGGGACAAGTCCAGAATGAACTTCAGATCCCCACAGTTCCGTTTCAGCACTGGAAACAGACGGGTAACCCACCTGAGGGACGTAGTCGTTTCGACTACGCCCAAGCGCACCCACTCCAAGATGACTTGACGAAGCGCAGGAGAAGAAACCTGCCCTGTTAGCCCCGAACCCCCCAAAGGAGGACGAGTCACCCAACGCCACCGCAGGCCGGATGACACGACCGAAAAGGCCTACAAATCGTGGGACCAAGCGTGGGCAAACAGAGCGAGCCTCCCCCCCATCGCCCCGTCAATTGGGCAAACCACGAAAAGGCCGACGCCCATTATGAGAACCCAAACGTCGAACAGGGCGATCACCACACCCACCAGATGACGCTGGTCCGAAAGGGAACAACTGCTCAGAATCTGGCACCAATGGCCTACCTCGACCAGCAGAACCCGGAACCCTGGCACGACCCCTCCGAAACTGCCGAGAATGACCGCTTCGGAGAATCAACAAGTCCGCCATAGGACGACAACTGGACGAAGCCGAAGTTTTACAGAAACTGAGACACCGCAGTCTCTGCAAACAGCAATGGACAAAACGGAGATGAAAACCTAAGAGCCAAGGCCCAAGCGGATTCCAAAGAGAGGGCGAGCACAGCCTGATGGCACGTGAGGTGAGAAGCAATAAACAGACAACCCGCTTCCCTCAGGATGAGCGCAAAGAGCTTCAACATTGCAGCCGACACCCTAGCTGCCGAAGTTAGCCCCCCAGACGAAGGCCCTTCACTCAATGCTCCCACATCCTCCTCAAGCCAAGCTGAAGACAGCTCGAGAAGGGAAAAGAAACGCAAGACCGAAGCCAAATGCCCACGGGCGCGCAACTCCTCCGCAACAAACGAAGTCGAAAGCTGAGGAACCTTCACGTGAAGCTGGAAAAGGCCAACATCACGAGAAAGCACGGGAGCGAACAAGCACGCATTAAGGTGCTCAAACTCGCCCCCAGGTAAACCTGCATAAAAGTAGAAGTTTCCCGCCAATCAAGCGTGCGGGTCCGTCAGAACCCATGCCATGCCCCCAACGAAAAGAAAGGGCAGTCTGCCAGCCAGGAAGACTCCGGAACCTCCAATCGCACCCAAAAACGGGAAGAAGAACCGAACTCAAATGAGGACAGATCAATTGCAGAGGCATAACCCGGGTCTCACAAGAGGTAAGCAGCAAGAGCTTCCCGAGCCACCTTTGTGGAGATACAGGAAGTAGAAAACCTCTGGAAAGACGGATCCGAGGTACCCAAAGGCGCCCGGAACCGAACCCGGGGAGGAGCCGAACCTAAATCATACTCATACAAGGAAGGGGGGGTAAGAAAATCCCTCCCCCTGCAACAATAAGCCACGCGAGGAAGGCAAAAGCACCTAAGCGGGGTCAAAGGGGGCCCAAGGCCCCCAGGTTGACTCCTCCTCAGCCCCAGGATCCCCCACGTCGGGACCTGGGGCAAAGCGGTCCTCCAAACCCTCTACCCCTGAAGAAAAGGCAGAGTCCAAGGGAAAGGCAGACAAGAAGGGGGTCTGCTGGTGGGACCCAGAAGCCTCGGCAGGAGGAACCGGCTCAAATGCCTTCGTCCCCGACCCAGATGGGGCAGCCCCCCGAGGCAGCCCGAGTCTCATTGCCAACTAAACCCTGTGCTGAGGCCGAAACCCTCAGACGTTTTGGAGCCGGACACAGGGGGGAAGGTGCAGGAAGAACCACAGGGGAAGGGCCAGGGGTGCAGCAGGAGCCAAAGCCAAAGTGACTAACGCCCCCCAGGTCAGGGTCCCTAAAACCAAAACGGGGCAGTCTCGGGGCATCCGGGTGGGAACCAACCTAGCACGTTGCAATAACCTAAACCTAACATGCAACACTGATGCTGCCTGTACCCTAACAGGAACATCCTCAGAGTAAAACTGGAGCACAAGCAGAGAACATGACTCGCAAGACTCCGGGTCAAAGGTGTCGTTGACCCAACAAGCAGCATGACGGAGGCAAAACAGGTGACTGTCACCCTGAGACAAGGGCACACTGCAACCTTCAAACCCGCACAAGGCAGGCTGGAACTCGGGAGACGCATCCATGGGTCCCCGAGCCCCGACAGGGGTTTCCAGGGCCCGTAGGGTAACAACTACGGGAAGCCCGGGCAAGGTGTTGCTAACCGGTTAAGAAACCCAAACAAACAAGGGTAGATGATAAAACTGAAAATCTCCTGAGATGTGTACAAGCACGGGGGCCTAGCAGAGGGCTACCAAAACAATATCAGGGGAACTATAGACCCACGAGGTTATCTTGAGGTTATCTTGAGATGATTTCGGGGCTTTTTTTTTTAGTGTCCCCGCGGCCCGGTCCTCGACCAGGCCTCCACCCCCAGGAAGCAGCCCGTGACAGCTGACTAACACCCAGGTACCTATTTTACTGCTAGGTAACAGGGGCATAGGGTGAAAGAAACTCTGCCCATTGTTTCTCGCCGGCGCCTGGGATCGAACCCAGGACCACAGGATCACAAATCCAGCGTGCTGTCCGCTCGGCCGACCGGCTCCGAGGCAGAACCTCCACCAGGCAAACAAAACAAAAGAAAAACCCCGCAAAAGTACATCGTCTCCAGAGGCAACAGGAACCGGTCGCCGATTAGGTGGCAGGCCACGCAACACCTTGACGCCCTAACCAGCATAACACCACTCCCTACCCAAGGCCAAACAAGAGCCCCAAGCCCCAGCTGGCCCCAAAGGGCAAGGCAAATGCCGAGCAGCAAGAAACCCCTACGGGAGCGGTTCCCGAACGCCGCATGGAAGATAACCCTGATACGCAGGGGCAGTACTCACAGGGCGCCTAGGGAAGGAAGCCCCTAAGCGCATGCAGCCCCGGCACTGATGAGGTATTCCTGGCCATCGCACACCACAAAAAGACAGCAGAGAATGCCACATGAGGCAAACACCGCCCAGGAATTTGAGGCCAGAGAAGCATCTATCCCGGTTGACACTAGCTTACGAACTGAAGGCAGCCGGCGTCGTGAGGTCCAGGGCTCTCCCTCCCCCTCCCGGGGAGGGGAGGGCTACACGGATGACCGGCGTGGCAGTAAATTGATTGACTGATTGTTTCCTTGGGATTGTAGGGAATTTCTAACTCTCTGTTCGTTTTTTTGTTGTAGTTTTTTATCATGTGGGGTTTGTTTTGTTATGCCTACCTTTCTGGGTGCCTGACCCCGGTCGATGGCAAATAAGGAAAACTCCAAACCATAATGGGGTTTTCCAGGGCCATTGCTCCCTGAAACCTCTCTGAAGGGGCCAGGTTCTGGCGCTGGTCCCTGGTAGGTCTGAACTCCATAGCTAATGTCCCGGTCTAACATAACATACATTAGCCCGATAAGCCCCAGGGAGCCGTAGGGACTCCCCACAGAAAACCAGCATTGAATGTAATGAAATGCCATTTTCTGGGTGAATCATGGAGCCTCCCCAGAGCTATCCAGGCTGATATGGATATTATTTGACTTTGGCATCAGTGTGAATGGAGTTCATAGGCCTACCAGGGACCACAAGCCAGAACCTAGCCCCCTCAGAGAGGCACTAGGAGCAATGGCCTATAGAAATGCACATGTGATTTGGAGCATTCTATGTCTATGTAAATGCCGAGCAGCAAGAACACCTACGGAAATGGTTACACGAATGCACCAGGGAGGAGAACCCAACACGCAAGGGCAGTACTCACAGGGTGCCTAGGGAAGGATGCCCCTAAGCGCATGCAGCTCCGGCACTAATCAGGAACACCTGGCCACCACACAACACTGCAGAGGTCGCCACGAAGGCAAACACTGCCTTGGAAACTAAGGCCAGAGAAGATGTCCACCCCGGACCACATTAGATTACGAACTGGAGGTTCGAATAGCTGGCACTGGGAGGGGGGTGTTCGGATTTCCCCCTTCCCCTTTCGGGGAGGGAAGGGCTGCAGACCAGGTAGCACAGAGGTGGAGTGTGACATTTGCTTGTTTCCTTGAAATTGGAGGGAGTTCTACCTCTGTTCGGTTTTTAGTTTTTAGTTTCTTACCATGTGGGGTTTGTTTTGGTATGCCTACCTTTCTGGATGCCTTACCCCGGTCAATGGCAGATAGGGAAAACCCCGAACCACAGGTTTTTTTCATGGCCATTGCTCTATGTGCCTCTCTGAGGGAGCCACGTTCTGGCTTGTGGTCCACAGTAGGCTGAACTCCACTGACTAAAGCCCTGGTCTAATGTATCGCATATTAGCCCGATAGCTCCAGGGAGTCGAAGGGGCTCTCCACAGTAAAGCCACAGAAACATCTGACCCCACAAGTGAGGAAAACCCAACAGAGCCTGGCCAGGGTCATGGAGAAACTGCAGGTAACCACTGAACAGGGCAAGATAAAAAAAAACTTTTGGAACCTACAAAAGCAGGAAGGGGGGTAGGGAAAGCGGGGCAAATTCCAGCTGCCAAATAGGACTCGGAAATACCCCTGCAGGAGAGGTGAGGAGTAATACATCTCATCCTGAGGTGAGGGGTATGAAATTATGTCTGTACAGAGCAAGATACCTCTGGACCAGGAACTAAATACCAAAGGATCAAAGGATAACCACTCGGCATAATCCAGAACACATCAGAAAAGTAACTATGCACAACCGTATGTGATTATGCACAAGACCCAATTGCATCCTTGGGCCAAGTGCAACATAAACACACAAGAAGCAGATCTAAGCATAACAACCATACTATAGTGACACTCCACATCAACAGGTCTCTTAATTTTCTTTCACTAACATAGACCTACTCTGAATAAACTTTGTGATTTAACCAGTATAAAAATAATTTACACTTTATGGGGTTATTGTCAGGCCAATGTACTTAGACTTAAGTTAATGTTACTATAAATGATAAAACTCACGCTCTCGTAGGTCTAAAGAATGGTGATCATCTTGTGTGCAGTCTACCCCAATCTCACATACTTCTGATTGCTTTTGTCTGGTAGACAAGGCAGTCGAGACAAAATTTTCAACTCGCTCGTTAATGTGACTTTGAATGATCTCTGAAATAGAATTACAAATAATAATTAGGAATTACAATGCTTCCTAAACAAATAAATACAATACATATAACTATTATATGATATAGATCCATGTAATGCATAAAATAAACAACATAGTACTTGGACGCCTATTATCTAAATGCGGACAGAAGTGTCCGCGTGCAGCGGTTCCAGAATCAATTAGCAGATGGCACTCGTGTTTGTTCATGGTACAACTAACCTTGTAAGAGATGAATCCAAACTTGCCTTTTGATTTTAGCACTGAATATTGAGTCATCTCTTCACAATGCTGAACAGAAATCTTAGCATAGCCAGAATAAGTTCCTTAACAAGTATTGTATAAACAATAGAGTATTGATATAGTCACACTGGCTTACCTCTTGTGAGGTCATGTCCTTGTGAGAGAAGGAAATTCCTATGGGAGTAATCAAGTGGTATTTGCTGAGAAACAGTACAACTTGTCACATATGAATATTTTGTCTTCTTATGTGTTTTATACAAGCAAGGCTGAGCAACTGGCAACCGAACTTTGTGCAAAGTTTGCTCTTCCTTCTGGTGCCTTAGCATCAGCCATTTAGAGACATCCTTGCAGGTTTGAGAGCGCTTGAGCACCACGGTAGATGCTTGCTATAGGTTTGCAGGAGCTGGTGAGTGAAGGATTTGCTGCCTTGTAGGAGCCTCTTTGGGGGATGCAAAGTCTGGGACTGTGAAAGAGGCAGCCAAGCTATCAGTACCCTTCAAGTCCCCATCTGAATGTTACACTATGTTTGGGTCATGGGATGTGGTGACTTACCCAGTTGACACTTCCTCGCTAGTTGTCGACTTAAGTGGTGTCATTTATTGCAGACTCACAGGAATTTAATGGTTTCCTATTTCTGCACTGAGATGATGGCTGTGATGAGTATTTATCCACTTTGTGTGGGTCGAGTGCCTGGCCTGCGTATGTGTTTCTGCCCAGTCCAAAGGCTTTTAGTGCTGGTGGATTCAGTGTAAGCTGGATTCTTCCATCACATCCAGCCGATGCATCTTTAGGTCCTGCTACTTGGCCCAACTTTACCCCTTTGCCTTGGTGTCTCATCCCATGCTGAGCACTGGGTCTGGTGCTTACTCTGTATCACGGGTCCATGTTTCACTACAAGACGCTTACTCTGTATCATGGTCCATGTTTCACTACAAGATGCTTACTCTGTATCATGGTCCATGTTTCACTACAAGATGCTTACTCTGTATCATGGTCCATGTTTCACTACAAGACGCTTACTCTGTATCATGGTCCATGTTTCACTACAAGACGCTTACTCTGTATCATGGTCCATGTTTCACTACAAGACGCTTACTCTGTATCATGGTCCATGTTTCACTACAAGACGCTTACTCTGTATCCCGGGTCCATGTTTCACTACAAGACGCTTACTCTGTATCATGGTCCATGTTTCACTACAAGACGCTTACTCTGTATCATGGTCCATGTTTCACTACAAGATGCTTACTCTGTATCATGGTCCATGTTTCACTACAAGACGCTTACTCTGTATCACGGGTCCATGTTTCACTACAAGACGCTTACTCTGTATCATGGTCCATGTTTCACTACAAGACGCTTACTCTGTATCATGGTCCATGTTTCACTACAAGATGCTTACTCTGTATCACCATGTTTCACTACAAGGTCCATGTTTCACTACAAGACGCTTACTCTGTATCACGGGTCCATGTTTCACTACAAGACGCTTACTCTGTATCATGGTCCATGTTTCACTACAAGACGCTTACTCTGTATCACAGGTCCATGTTTCACTACAAGACGCTTACTCTGTATCACGGGTCCATGTTTCACTACAAGACGCTTACTCTGTATCATGGTCCATGTTTCACTACAAGATGCTTACTCTGTATCATGGGTCTATGTCTCACTACAAGTGTGGAGCAAGATTCGACACGAAGTTTCAAGTAACTTTTTAGTTCCATTCCTAGGAAGAACCATTTTTCCTCCCTCCATTTTCCCCTCCACTTTCTTATGGTATATGGAAGGCCTTTGTGTAGACAGCATTTGCAGGGTGGTATCATTTAAGTAATTACCAAGTGTAGTTACAGGATGAGAGCTATGCTCATGCTGTCCCACCTTACCAGTACTGTACTCTTCATTAGATAATGTTTTGAAACTACCGACAGTTTTGGCCTCCACCACCTTCTCACTTAACTTGTTCCAGACATCTGTCACTGTTTGCAAAGGAGAACAATGGAGAACTAATAATTTTGTGCATCTTTCTTTTTTTAGCTTGAATCTATGACTTGAAGCTGCAGTTTCAAGAATTCCTCTTTGTCAATTTTATCGATTTCTGTTACTATTTTGTATGTAGTGATCATATCTCCTCTTTTTCTTCAATCTTCCAACATTGACAAATTTGATACCTCTAGCCTCTCCTTGTTTCTTTGGAAGCCATTTCAAAGCATGTCTTTCTACCGTTTCCAGTTTGTTGATGTGATTCTTGAGATATGGGCACCATACAACTGCTGTATATTCCAGCTTTGGTCTCACAAAGGTTGTGAACAATTTCTTTACCATTTCACCATCCATGCATTTAAAAGTGATTGTGAAGTTGGAAAGTACAACATAGGCACCTCACACAACGTTCTGTAAGTGGTCCTCGGCTGACAGTCTACTATCCAGAACCACCCTCTAAATATCTCTGTCTGAGTACTTTAACACCTTTTCACATAATTGCCTCGTATGGGCCAATAGGCCTTCTGCAGTTACCATTGTTCTTATGTTCTTATATTAATCGTGAATTAAAAGTATCAACACAAAACGGAACACGAAACAATGGGTGTAAATTGAATAAGATTAGATTTAGGAAAGACTTGGGTAAATACTGGTTGTTGATTTGTGGAACCAATTACCGCTTAACTTAATGCCGGGGATGACGCAGCATTGCGTCATCCACTTTAAAAATTCGCCAAAAATCAGGTTTTTATCTGATTTTTGGGGACTGGTTTTAAAATGTGCGCCGATGTCTTCCCATTTTCTTTGTTGAGCCTCGTGGCCCTCAGGCGGCTTGGCACACCCCGTGGGCCCATTGTCTTTGCTCCACTGTTGTGACCAATGTCGCCTCCCCTCGCATCTCAAACGTGTGAACATTTCGGCTATTTCCCGTGGCTATATTTCTTACTGCGGCTTTAGAAACTATCTACGCTTACTCCACGATGGATAGTAATCATGAACAAGGCCCTTCCAGGAAGAAAATTGCGAAAGAAAGGCTTGAAAAGGGTGGGAATTTGGAGTGTAGCAAGAAGGCCTCTGAGCACTCACTCACGGCTAACGCGTGGCCCGTCTTCAACTCGTCGGCGGTTGGAGCGTGACCAGGTTTTTTTTTTTATATGCTAATGTTCCTCTAGAGAATTTTATTACGAACCGATTGAGACCAAAATGAAAGACCTAGGACAAAAATTGAGGTGACCAGAGTGAAAATAGTGAAAACATTTTATCCCGTTTGCGCGCTCCCGGGTAACTCGTTCGCACTTTCTCTGTTTGCTGCGGGTAATTAGCCGGGCTTTTGGAGTTTATATGCATTTAGTGCTGTAGAGAATTTTATTGCGAACACAATGATACCAAATTTTATCTCGTAGAGGGAGAATTGAGGTGACAAAGTTGAAGAGAGTATACACTTTTCGGAATTAACGCGCGCTTCTATGACACGCTGGGGCCCATATCGCCCTGTCGAGGGGTGGCGCGCGGGGTGAGCGAAAGTGTTAACGTGGTGGAGGTGGGGTCCCTCGATTGTTTCAAGCGTGGGTTGGACATGTTTATGAGTGGGATTGGGGGGTTATAGATAGGAGCTGCCTCGTATGGGCCAATAGGCCTTCTGCAGTTACCTCTATTCTTATGTTCTTATAATTTGTAGGTTGTGTGTGGTCTATTTTCTCCTATTTCCCACTGCATAACATGGCATTTATTCATGTTGAATTCCATCTGCTCCATAAACTTATTTGGTTTAGGTAATCTTGAAGGACATTGTAATCATGTCTTTCTTTCTTAGTAGCTCAGCATCATCAGCAAATATGTTCATATAATTTTGTATTCTGTCTGGTTGATCGTTTATGTAGACAATAAACATTACTGGTGCTAGAAATGAACCCTGTGGTACTCCACTAGTAACATATCTACAGTTTGATACATTGCCTCTGATTACTGCTCTCATTTTTGTCAGAACATTTTTCATTCACATAAGAAGTCTTCCTGTGACCCCTCCAGTATGTTCCAACTTCCAGAACAATTACTAATGTGGGACTCTGTCAAAAGTCTTTTTTCTTGGGAAGCCCCTTGGTAGCTTCCTGTAGCTGTCGCTAAGATTGCTCCATACTACAAGTCACATCAGTCACAGGAGTTCTGTTTGGTCTACCTGGGACCCGAGCCAGAACCTGGCATCCATCACACAGGTGCAGAGAGGAAATGATATTCAACCTTATCACTGGAAAAGCATCTAAAAAGTTAGCGAAGCTTTACAGACACCCACTGGGTACATAAAACTCGAAGCCTCGAAACTGCGAAAGAACTCCCCAAACAATTCAACCAAAACAAATAATTCACTCAAAAGGAGCTGGAACCCATTAGTGCCGATCGCCGCCACCAGGTTGGCCTGAGCCCGCTCCACCTCCAGCTCATCACTCAGTTCTGTTTCTGATGTGTTACTCTGTGCAACACTGTAGTTTTCCATGGTTGCCATCTCTCTAGCAGCAGGTCCCAGTGCTTCTAAACTAATTTTTGACCCTCCTAGGACTTGTCCTATGGGGGGTCATTTGCTTGTGTTTTTTTCCAATTTAGCACTAACTTCCCTAGCTTGCTTTTCTATTCAGTTTTGTTGTGTGGACTTTATTTTCATCACTTCGACCTGCATGTATTAAGTGGTTACTTCCCTGGATGTTCATGTAGTGCTAACCCCTTACAAAGGCAGAATGCCTTCTCTGGTGAGTTCAGGAGTGTACACTTTAAGGCCATGTCA